ACCATAGTGAGCTGAAGCAATTAAATAAGAAGAAAGAGTGATTCAGCTGGGAACAATTAGCAGTTTCTCTGTAATTGTTCCACAGAGAAATATGGGAGTTATTTCAAGAGAGTCTCAACTTGCAAAGCTTCAGCAGTTTTATTGTCTCCACCCATTAAATATATTTGGTAGCTGGCTGTAAACACACATACACTGTTGCAATCAAAATTTTCAACTCTCTAAACTGCATCATTGTTATAATGAGCCTTCAGGCAAAAGCAGAGATTAACATTTCTGAGAGAGAAAAACAAAGATTTCATTTTCACTACCTGCCCACAAAACCTGATTTCCAGGATGGAGAGTATATCAAGATGCCAATTATCAACCTGCACATTTCTAAAATATAACCTTTTGAAACAGAAAAACAAGGTCTTTCTTTTAAATTGTGTTAGTGTTCTTAAAAAATACTGATACAAAGAAAGGACAACATTTAATGCTACTTTGTTGCAGATCACACAATAGCTCATTTAATGAGCCTGCAATATCTAAATATCTTCAGGTCATTTAATCAAGGACAACCCATAAATATTGTTTTATGGGTTCAGTTCCCACCTTAAAAGACTAAGAGGAGATTGAGTGCTCATTTTTGCTGCTGCCACTTTTTAAGTGAATCTTTTTGGTACTCCAGAAAGCATGAATTTTATTAGCTGTAACGCCTACAGAGGTCAACAATGAGACAATCAACTACAAAACCTGTTCATTTTCAACAGTGGTTCTGTTTACCAGAAAATGAGGTAGAGCAGTAGCACAATTATGCATAAATTTTTATTACCTCCCCTATTAATGGAATTCCAGATCTGAAAACAAAGTCTGATTCTTACATTATTTATTATTTTTTAACATTTACAACATATTAACTAAAAATCAAGGTAGACTTGGATTATCTTTGCAATACAGATAAGGCTTTTATCTCTTGTTATCTGTAGATAACAAAGAGCTTTACCACAAAAATAACTAAGTGTCAAAGGCATCAATTAAAGACACCAAAGATAGCCTTTTTTACCTCCAAGTTTCTTTCTAAAACTTACCCAGCTACTGCCAAAGTTCAGTTTAACCTCTCAGTAATTATAACCACAGAAAGATTTACTGAAGCAAGCCTAAAATACAGCTACAAAAGTAAGAGCTTTCTGGCTCCTCCATTAGCAACATCCACTACAATTCCATCACTAATTACTAAGCATGTTTTACACAGTTTGGCCCAAACCAGTAGAAAATCCAAGCTGAGACATTTCTATGATGCTGCTGCTATTCTCTGCTATAGCACAGTACTTGCAGGACTTCAGTGGGAAGTGACAATTGTGTTCCCTAAATCCATCAGTGACTACCAAGGTTGTCACTCAGGAACAATGCTGGATGTTGTCTTTTCAGCCAGATTTTCTTCAATGAAGAATCAGAATGGTTTGGGTTAGAAGGGAGCTGAAAGATGATCTAGTTCTCCCCTTCCCTTGCCATGCAGAAGAATGTCTTTCACTAGACCAGGCTGCTCTAAGCCCAAAAGAAAACAAAGACTTACAGTCTTAAGACCTTCCCCTCAAATCCGCTCCTGGAATTCTTCTGAAGACATTTCAGCTTCTAGTGCTGCTAAAAGAAGGCCTCGTGGGTTTGGGTTTATTGAGGTGCTTACCTTCATCAGGCTATGAAAATGAACCCAACTTAAAGGTGTTAAAAAAGTCCTTTCTGGGGGCAACAACTTTCACTTCAAGAAAAGGTCTAGTGATAAAAAGAAACATTCTCTTTTTGTGTGGTATAAAAGATGTCAGAATTTCCTAATCAATTAACCCTAACCCTAACCATGCCATGGTCTCTCTTGCTGCTATCTCAGGAGGGATTTCTGTTTAAACAAAATCGGCTTTCCATTTCTGCATTCACCGGAGACATTTGATGTAATATGAAGCAATTAGCATGTTTTAATAATTGATTCATGGGTGTGAATTAGGCCTCCCTGCTCAAGGAATGCCAGTGAAATACATGCATCCATTTCCATACCTGAAGGGCTGTCAACTGCTAGACAGGCAGGGCTCAGCTGCAAACCTGTAGATTTAGGTGGAAATCCACTGCATAGAGGATTGGGCTGTTCTGGGACACATTAGATGGACTTGAATCCTGTTGTTGGCCCATGTCCAAATGCTGTCCATAGATCACCATTACTCTTATATGTGATATTCCCACAAGGTTTCACTTTTCAGAGTTAGAGACTAACAGAACTTTTTACAGCACAACTAGAACATTAGATTGTCTCAACATCCTTATCAATATTCAATTCCACTCAAAACCTTGGTAAGCTCTGAAGTGTCCGAAACTTTCAGTGGCAGTGCAGTGTAGGAGAAAAAATTTTCATATAAATATTTGAGGTTAAAGAAAGGAGAAAATCCAGCAAATAAGTATATGGACATCATCACACTTCACAAATACCACTTAAATTTCTAGAAGAACAAGGGAAAGAAGAAGATACCAAAAAATACAAACAGAAAAATTAGAATTTCCATGGGAAAATATACCAAGTGCTAAGACCAGGTATCTACTGTATGGCAAATCCAGTGATTAAAGGAAGAGCACAGAAAAGGCACTTGCGTACTTGGAGCTAAAATTTCCCACCAAGACTGAGGAACCTAAAATGCCAAAGGTAAAAACTGAGCAAATGCCTAGTTTTGTATTTTAAAACAAATCTAAAAGCCATCATGATTTCATAAAGGCAGTCATCCTTACCCAAATTTACCTAACATTTAAAATTTACTAAGTGCAAATGCTCTTAATTAATAATGTCTTATCCATAAAGTAACCATGGTGTTGAATGCATGGTTGCTTGTGGTATTTATGTTTACTTTCTTTTAAAACAACAACATTACAAGCTTTATGATAAAATGTGATATAGTTATCATCTCCTTGATAATCGCTGATTATCCACTTGTTCTCTTTATGTGCAGTCTGCAGCCATGAGTGAAAAGGAGTTTGCCCTAACAACTCTGCTTGTGCAGGAGAGGAGAACATTTGCTTTCATAGAGCTTTAGAAGTTAAATCAATTCACCTTCTGCAGAAACAGCACTGTAACATTCTTGCTTTTCCTGGGAAGGTTTATACTTCTGCCTTGAAGTAGGAGAAAAGATCACTTCTATCTAACTGATGGAAGGATACTCACTATCACCTGAAGCAAAAAAAGTACAGTGTAAATATACGGATTTCTCTCTTGCGTGTCTGCATATGCAAACACACTTGAAAACTCCAATGTGAAGGCAAAACTCATTTTAGCAGTTCAGATTGGGAACTTCACACCACAGAGGACAAATCCAGTTAGAATTTTAGGGAGACAGTATTAATTCTCCTTTAAAGACAGCAAGTACTCAGCCTGGATTAAAAAGAATTTTGTTTTATTTGAACAACGGCAAACAATCTTTATTATAAAACATGTATCTTTCACCTGGAGTAGAAGAATCTCAAAATCATTTTTATAATCTGATAACAAGTGTCACCACAACTAGTCAATGTTCAAAACTAAAATCAGTTACTCATAGGTTAACAATGTTTAAATTTTTTAAACACATAAAATGGGTATTTTCTAAAAATCACTCTGCATTATGATTATGAGACTGTTTTCAAAGGAAAACTCAACTACCACAAGTTTTCCAGAGCAGAAAAATCACAACTAGCCCTGAACAAGAACAGTTACATTAGAAATCCAGAAATTCTGCCAAATACTTCTGTCAGTTTTATGTACAAGTTAAAAAAAAAATTCTAATTCTGGCATTACCACCGCCAAGAAGAGGTAATATGAAGACAAGTAACTTTTGTTTATGCTCTTCGTTGCTATTTTTCTTTGGTTTAAAATGTACATGAAACACATTTTATGAAACATCATCTTTGCTACTTCATATTGCTACCTGTGTGTACTGCAGTATGCTTAATGTTAGGTACTTAATAAACTCCAATATGTTTGACACCCCATGCAGCACGTGGGTACCTGCACTCCCTACCTGGTGCACAGAGAAGGAAATCAGATGTTCTTCCAGAGGAAGTTTTGTATTTATTCAAAAGGCATCTCAACTGACTTTATTATGTCTTTAAATGGTCAATTTAATGGAACTTAGAAATTAAGAGACCTCTTACTGTTTCAATAATATTACAAGCAAGACTCATTGGTGTACATTGTAATTCAAAGGGCTTATACAAACCCCCTGTACCATTTAACCCCCTGAGAAAAGGTTTTAAACGGTGTTCCATGGAATCTCACCCACTGTGAAGGAAAACACTGAGGCATCCTGGACTGAAAGTGTCCTGAAAAACACTTTAAAGCTTTGAAACATTTCTCCTCATCAGAATGCACAAATGCAAAATAATCTATCCTATATCCAAAACAATTCAAAATGTTAACAATAATAGCTGGAATTTTAAATTTAAGAAACACTGTCATTGAATACAATTTGCACATTATGAAAACAATTTGCAAATCTGAAAAGGCAATTGTCATCTATATTTGACATATATATATTAATATAACAACACTGTTATATTGTTATATTAAAGTTGCTTTTAAGTTTTAAGGTAAAAAGAACTATATGTATGTAACTTTCTGACACCAAAATTGTCCATAAAAAGCCTAGACTGTTTGAAATGTTTTAATTTTTAGTGTCTTTCCTCAAAGGGTTTGTACATTTAATCTGACCAGGAGTGAAAAATGTGCTGTATTAAGATGAAATAAAGTACAAATAATTTTTAGTCTAAATGTTAACTGAGGTCTGTGATTAAAGTCTAAGGAAAATTTTGTCAGCTATCATGTTATAGGAGAATCCACACACAGTCATAACTGGATTATAACATCTAACCAGGCACTTTTTAAACAACTTGTTAGTTTAAAATCAAGGATAAAAATGGGGTTTGTATGTCATTTGATGTTTCAAAAAGGCACAAGTATGCCCCTCTATTTCGCCACGTAAAAAAAAAAAATTTCACTCAGATTAAAAAAAAAATCCAAAAACTTGTATGGGTTATGATCACTACAAATTTTAGGATGACAACAAGAAGCGTCTTTGCTAAAATGAAAGCTCCAAGCTTTGATTGAATTCTCAACACAGCAAACAAACCGTCTGATTGCAAACTTGCAATTCATTGCTAAAGCAAAAGCCATAAAATAAACTGCAGTGCACAACTTCAATGTGATTCTAAGAACTTATTAATGCTGATATGAGAGGTGATTTATTTGGCTTTGTGGTGTTTTGCATTTGTTTGTTGTGCAGTTTTTTAGTAAAACCTTCCCCTTCTGACAGAATACTGTTAAACACAGGAAAAAAAATTTGCTACTCTCTACTACTGTCAGTCTTTCAGACACAGTAAAAAACCACAACATACAAGAGTTCTAGAGCAAGTCATCAATCTGCAAAATGTTATACATCAGTAATAAGGCATCCAATGTACAGCAATTTGAACAAAAAAGGAAGCATTTCCCAAAATACATATTTTGAATCTGTGTAAACAAAGCTCATATGTATTACTTCCATTAATTTCAAAAATATACACCCACATGGACTGAAAATGACCTTGATGCTATGAATTTTAGATTACTGTAATTTCTGCAGCTGTAATCTGAAGATACAAAATCCAAATATTTTTGAACTTAAAATTTTGAAACATGTTGAAAATTTTAATCATGCTTACGTGAAAAGAAAGCTAAAAATGCACCCCAAATTTTATGCCATTTCATTGAACAAAGGAGAAAGCACTATGAAAATAAACATTCATCTGGTTTCCTAACAATAAATACAAAGACAGTTATTATAAGATACTGCAACACAGGAAATATTACTATATTGACCTTAGTGTTCAATCAGTAGTTTTTTGAATCTTTCCTCATTGACATCTGAATCTTCTACCTTGTCAGCTGTCCAACAACTTTTAAGAGGGTTTTGTTTTCTTGCTTCAATTGTTCATTTTCGTCTTCTACATCATCTAGATCCTGTACAAGAAAAAAGAAAAATAAACACTTCTCAGGATGGAAATACAAACTCTCAATTAGTAGCAGCAGAAATTTAATATCTTAGCTCTGAAATGAGGAAGCTGGGACAGGGAAGAATTAGTGTCACAGTAGGCACCCTTAGAAATGTTAAACCAGCCTGTTTCAAAGTGTTACTGTAATTACAAAACATTAACATTATATTCCTAAGCACCTTAAATAGAAACATTTTCAAATCAAAGCTACAGCAGGAATTAATGCATAAAGAAACCAAAATAGAATGGGGGTGATTATTTTTCTGGCATATACAGAGAGCGTATTAATCAGCTCCTCTTCCTGCTTTCCCCAATTGCCTGTCTGCAACTATGGCTCCCATGTGTACACATCACTGATTATTACTGCAAGAAACCCTGTTTTGAGTATTAAGTATCAAAATTTTCAGACAAAGACATGCCAGTTCACTTTTTTTCCTGTGGAGCAAAAAATAAAAATGGACTTTGTAGCTTTTGTCTGAAGTGCTACTGGAAGAACAGACAATGTGCACAGAGTAGTAATGGGTGCTCAAAATAGATTGCCTTCACAGTGTTTGAAAATGTGTTTGACACATACAAATGTTTGTGTCTTTTCCACTAATTACCATTTTTGTCCAGTTCCCATTTCACTTCTTCACTCCTAACAAGTTTTTTCAAGCCTTTAAAGTGAAAATCAGTAATAATAACTGCTTAATGCAAACATTTCTTCAATAAATGCAATTTTCATGTACAAAAATCTCATGCAAAAACCAAAATGTGAACTAGAAAAGAATGAAGAAACAGAAGAGTGACGTCAAGGACAGGATTTTAAGGAGAAAAATGAAAGGTGGGCAAAGGAAAATGAACCAGAATTCTCACTGGAGATCCTATGTGTTTTTTGATTCAAGTCTGCCAAACTGTCCTCTTGCCTTAAGAAGTAAAGAGAAGATTTTCTCTCTCTTGGTCCTTTAAGTTGTTAGGCAGTGTTTAACATACAAAGCCCAGGTTCTTATTTCTTTCTCAGTGAGGTCATTCCAGAATAGAGATAATCTGTTCAATTGCTATAATGATTTTTAAAAGCCTCTTCAGTTTGCCAAGCTAAAATCCACACCTCAATACTTTGCAATCCTTTTATTGTTTTCTAGAGTAGAATCAAGAAATCACTAGCAGAAATTTCTCTCTGCTTCACAGAAGTAAAGTTGCATCACAGTATGAACCAATTCCAGGAAAAGCATTTGACTACTCCAACATAACAGATTCAAGTGACTTAAATACCTAAACAGGGTAAGTTTTGGTGGATAGATGCTAAAAATACAATTCAGTATAAACAAATACACTTTATAATCTCTTTTGTGCAATTTAGATTAATAAGCAGATAGATGGAAGGGACAACACATTTTCAATAAAACTATTTCTTTTTAGTTTGGTAAACATAAGACTTGTATTATAATGTTTAAACCTGGTGATCAAGCCATCGGATATCTCAATTACAGCTTACCTAAGAACCTCCTGTTTAAAATTCTAGTGCAATATACTCAAAATAAAATATTAAAAGTTTGTGAAACGTTTTGTGCTGCAAAAATAACATTCCAGAAATTACTACATGTAAAAGTTTCTTGAATATAAGCCAACAAAAATAACTCCTTTAAGGATCTACAGAAACAATGGGTTGAGAGATGGAGGGGATTCTGCCACTCTGAAATTTAAAGTTTCTTATTCAAAATTACAACACCAATTTATGCTTATTAACAAAAAAGATGCAATAGCAGGAAAGTTTGAACTTCACATACCAAAAGAACTGATAACTATGCAATTGACATTAATTGGACTGTAAATCCTCACTTAGACTGTCTCCAAACACACTTTTAACTACACTGACATCTTAGTAAGGTCAGAGATGACGAAGTGTAAACTAATTGACAGCCGAACTTTGTAGGCAAAGTATTCAAATATTTTGAGATGCCTTTCAGACGTTTAAGGTTTTTATGAAGCAATTGCCCCTTTCTTACAAAGAACATGGCAGACATACCTTTAATGTCGAATATATTGGAATGAGAGAATGGTGTTTATAGGAGAAAGCTTTTTCTGTTCCTCAATATAAATGCAGCTCATATCCTTTAAGCATCTCTGTGATGTACGGACTGAGCTCAGCAAAATGATAATGTCACATTAAATAAATATACTCACTTAAAATGAGAAAAATTCTACCAAGAAGTTCTCATGATTCTTGGAAAAGGTTTTTCAAGTGCAACACAAGGTCTTTGCCAATCAGGGATGCATCTGTGGTTACGAACTGACTAAAACTTCTAGAAAGAGCATTTTGCTAAATATGGGCTGAGCAGTCAGAAAGATACACAATAAATTGGCCTTTTAAGAAGTTACCTAGGGTATCTGATGTGGTATTCTTCCCCTACCTGCACATATTAACATCCAACAACTGTATATATTGATGAAAGAAAAGCTGGAGGAGAACCATGAATGTGTAGATGGTCAAATTTAGAGATCCCTATTTAGGCTGCTACCAGCAAAATCTTTTCAGACGACATCTGCATAGACTCACTAAATAAAGTTCAGTCCTCAGGACATCCTTTTATCTGAACAGAAGGCTGAAGATTGCAGCTGTTCTTCCATGAAAAGAACCCAATCCTGGTACTAGGCCTACAGAGGGACACTCCATCAGATGGATGTCCAAGGGTTGGCTCTCATGTTCTCAGTTATGATAATAAACCTGAAGCAAATACAACTGACATATTAATTTCCATAACCTTCTATCATGAGAATGATGTGATATTTCTGCAGCTTTTCTTAATTTTTTAAACATTTTCTCTTTCTGAATCCACATGGATAGTCAATATAGAAGCAATCAAATTCAAGAGTTAATAAACAGGAAAGTAAAACTGCATTTGTGTTAATGGAAGCATCACTTGAGTCATGAGTTCAAGAAGACAAATAACTACCCTGGTCATAAAATCAAAAGGACGCTAATTCATCATTAAGAAAAGCCTAAGAGACACAGACATAAATAACTTGCACTCTATTGAGCAAACAGACAATATTAAAGGTATGAAAAATGCTGACGTGATGGACCAAAAAAATCCCTTCTCTTCTGTGTTTAAAAGTATCTACCTAGGGAGCACCAATAAGAGGGCCTTGCAGATCTCAAGGAAAGGTAAAATTTTAGTCAATATAAAACAAAGTTGGTCTTGAAATTACTTTATTCAGTTTATGTTTTCTTCCATACAACAAGCAGAAACTGCTCTTGTACTTCACACAGGCAATGCACAGACAGTGCCTAACTTTACTATGGATGTTCAAAGACAGTTTCTAGTTAAGACACTTGATGGATTTCATTTAGGACATCACACTTCAAGTATAGCCAAAAAAAACCAACATTGCTTCTGGAACATCAAACCTCTCAAAAAGCTGTGGTCCTAAACCCCAAGATTTCAGTCATTTAGGTTCCTTCAATTTGTTCTTCCCAACCTTTGAATCAGGAAGTCAGACCTGACCAAGGGTATTAAATAGCTTTGCCATCCATTTTGCAGAAGGAATGAACACCTGCCTCAACTGTAATAAGGCCAACAAGCTTAGATGTGACAGATTCTTTGCAGAATGAAAGAACTGCATGAAAGCAATGCCTCAGTTAAAATAGAAATCTCTCTAAAACCAACACCACCTCATTTATCCTACAGATCAACTTCCAACTTTCCCCATATAAAAGCCAAAATACGTGTTTCAGAATAATCTCATCTCTTCTAATTTTCTAGGTTAGTTTGCAAACTTCTGAATGTTGTTCTCCTTTGCTACTAATGCAGAGCTGCAAAATGTAGGTCTGACACTCTTCGTGCCTCCCTTCACTGATGGATTCACCAGAGCTTCTACACTGGACTAGAAGAGAGGCATGTATCTCTAGGAAATCAGGATTCCACACTTCAGCCAGGAAGTGCAGGATGAGGTCAATAATACACCCTGTGAAAGAATTTCTGTTTGCCCTTAAAATTGGTACAATTTTTTTAAAATCAACTTTAAAACTTCTTATCCTGTCCTATTTCCAAGCATATCTCACTCTTCTAGCCCTCTTCTCCTGCCTTCACACCTTGCCTGATGTTACCTCATGTCTCCTGCCCTCTGTCTTATTCTGTCTTTATATGGGATCAACAATAAACAGTATGAGAATATCTGTCAAAATATAAAGAGCTTATGGTTTTATAACCTTGCTTTATAAACACTTAGAACAACAAGGAATTGAGCAGACTTAGGGAAGTTACTCATGACAAATACAAGTCACCTTAGAAAGAAAATATTACTTACTGATATACCTCTTGAAAAGCTACACAAAAACAAAAACCCCCCACATTCATTCTTTTCTGACCTTGCCCAATGGATGTCACCTGAAGAATACAACAGAGAATGCACATACTTATTCCCTCCTTACAGAGCCATGGAAGAAAGTATTTGCTTACTCTGTTTAATAAATCAATTTCTTCTTTCAGCTTTCCAATTAGTTCCTCTTTGTCCTGTGCCATCTTCATTAATCTTGCATTTTCCTGTCTTTCTTTTGCAAGTTCCTATAACCAGAATAAAGAATTAAGTTGAAAATGTAAATTCTTGTTCTAAGAGACAGTTTTAAGCTAACACTGTCTAAAACAAAGAAAGAACACACACACACATTTATCTATAATTCCTTTTCTACTGCAAGTCAAACCCACATCTTCAAGTCCTTTTACATTTCAAGGAGCTAAAGAATCACATCTAAGAATATTTTACAACAGCAAATCTGTCTGGTTCAATTCAATGATAATGTTTTAATTTATATTTAATTTAAGCTTGAACACAAAATTGGACAGAGGCCCAAAACAGAAGAAGTAAATGTAAAGTATGAGCTCCCAAATTACTGTTGGTTGGATTTTCTGTTGTTGGTTTTTTATAATACCATTATAAAAAATGGTAATATGTATATGGTACTATCTTCATTAACAAGAAATGAAGATTCACTTTTAAATCTGTGGGCCTGAATGTGATAAAGAATGAAAATGTTCATTAGGAAAGAATGTGCTTAAATCTTCTTCTGTTTTTTTTTACTGGCAATTAAAGTATTTCAGAAAGAAGAGGATTTAGAAGGGAGGATTATGGTATACTCTACTCAAATGAAGATTCCTCAAGTCTTAAATCAAAAATAGCAATTTCTACAAAACACATGTCATTTTCCCCCTTTCCAAAAAAAGGCCTATTCAAATTGTGTTAACTTAGTAACTTTCACCCACATGATTCAAGAATATTTGTGAAGTTACCCACAAAAAATCCACTTCAGAGGAAGACAGAGAAGCCAGTAATAGATTACACAGATTAAATTATTTAGCAAAATACTGGCATAGGCCAAAAGCTCAGCTCTAACATTATTACATTCTCCCAAAATTGTTTTTATTAAATCAGTAGGAAACAATGTAAATCATTTTAAATATGTGTTTTGAATGTTTACAGCTCTAACAAACAACTAGATAGCAGATAAATTTTACAATATTTCGGTATACTAAATAAAACAAACCAAGCAGTAGATCAGAAACCATCTTGTAACCTTGTGAACAGCCACTGAGCTCCTTCTTCCCCCAAGGTATTTGCTCTGTGTTGGTGTGTCATGAGGTACACAGGAGAAGCACACAGAGCACTGCTGGCTCTCTAAGTGTATTATCTTTGCCTTAACTATTTCTCAGTTAAATACCAAATGAAAATGAAACATCTGTGATTTCAAAGTTCACATTCTTCTCGGTCAGTCTGACTCTTTGTATGTTTTTGTAGACATAACTATCTGTACTTCAAGCATTTTGCATCATTTCTATTTTACCTGCAAATTTCCCCATTGAGTTTCAAAAGCACCTCATTTCAGAAGTATGCCATAGCAAAATTAGTTGGTGCTTACCCTTTCAAGTTCCTCAATCCTCTTCTCCAAAGAGTTACTTGGTAGAGAACTGCCAGAAGAATTCGCATCTCTGCTGTATCTGCCGTAAACTGTCCTCTCTGGTCGGGAATATCTGTTTGGAGCATCATCCTCTGGTGCACTGGCTGTACTGTGAGGGGCAGAGAAAGCACACACCCATTTACGCATCTCACAAAATGGAAATGACAGCAGTCACAGAAGAGCTCTCCAAAGCAGTCAGTAGGTCAGTCTAATAAACTGCAGAGAACATATTCCACAGCTGAGAACTCACTAAATTCACTGCCTCAGGGATTCAAATACTTGGATAATGCAGCTTTCATCACATGGGTAATACACCATAAACACATACTTATCCTATTTTTCAAGTTTCATTAACTATGCACATTAAAAAACAAGCTAAATTACTTTATTTCAAGAACTAAAGTGCCAATACAGAGTTTAAACAAAGAATCTTTTTAACTAGATGAAAACATAAGGGATGAAAAAACAGGTACACATCCAAAACATAAGAATATTGACTAATGTTTTGGGAACTATGGAATTAGCCTGTAAGGGAATGGAAAGGAAACTGAAGTGAGAAAGTGATACGACCCAACAAACCAATTTCATGCCACCTCCAGATATTTTACTTCAGAATTTTGGTACAGAGGAGTTTGTCAGAGCTCTGTTGGCTGACACACTTCCTTAAGTGGTCCCTTGGGACTACTTGGTCTAGATTATATGTCTATTTATTAAAAATCAGTCATGGAATCAAGAGATAAGCACTGCAAGTGCACATAAGGTATGTTTTTTAAAAAAGCATGCAGGATCTCCATTACTACTGGCATGTAAAAAAACAGTACTAATTTAAAAATATGTATGACAAGTCAAGTATTTTCAGTCACAAAACTAACAGCATCCTTCCCATAGCCATTTTCTTCCTAAACAGTAATGTTACTCACCTTCAATGAAGATTCTAATGAATAACTAAAAACAACAGAACAGAGTGCCCTGAGAGCAGACAAAGAGACTCTCCCTCACCAATTCACCAAAATTGAACTTCTTAGACTTAAAATATACAGACAAACTGCCAAAACAAAACCAAAAAACTGAGATACTCAAAAGCCACCTGGAGATGGTCCTCAAAAATCAGCTCTAGGTGGCCCTGCTTGAGCAGGGGACTGGACAAGATTACCCCAGAGGTCCCTTCCATCATCAACCAACTTGTGATTCTGCAAAATCACACAGCTGAAGTATGTATACACTGGTGCTCTAGACCACTTAGGAAAAGAATGAAAAGCACTATGAGCATCCCTTCAACATTTCCTTTAAAACACAGAAGAGTATATGATTAATGTGTTCATTTAACAATTTTGCATTTCATAACTCTAGAAAACCCCCTGCTGACAACATGCAGATTTAGATGGATACAGTGCAAATCAAAAGCAGGAGTATCTGGCAAAGGGATGTCTTTTCGTGGATATAAATATTCTTTTGCTCCAGTATGTGTGAAGTTTCCAAGACACACTGACACAATTGTAAGGAATTTTGTAGCTTAATGTTATTACCATATTTAGCACTGTTTATTCTTCATCCAGAAGTTTTTTTATAAAACATTTCTAGGACCAGATATGCATGTTGCAACATAAGACAAATATTTAAACTTTACTCTATAAATTCTAGGTTATTGAGTTGCCTAAAAGACTTGTAGTTTTGTGCTGTTAATGTCTCAAGGAGAGACCACACAAAAAAAAGTCTCCGCTTTTCATAATTTAAAAAGGAATACTTTTGCCACTCCACTGAAGTATTTAAACTCAGTTCCAGTGAGTGATAGTGGCAGAAGCTCCTACACAAAGCTTAGAAGAAAGAATACCTGGACAGGAAGGGTTTCATTAATAAAGAAAATGCTTTAATTTTCAGGGTTTTTTTCCCCTGACATTCAGACTTGAATTTCCTCACCTATTCCACTGGGCAGCAGACCTTACTGAACACATTCCTTCTCACTGTAGGAAAGTACAAAGAACACATCATAGAGGCTTCTAGGAAATGGGATTTTTAAAAACCATTTAAGAAAGCATGAGTCCAAAACCTAACACAAGGAATATAACAGATAAAAAGTTTATTATTTGGGGTGTTATAACCAATGGCTAGTACACAGCAATGGCAAAAAAGTACTATCCATGACACAACAGAAACATCTTTCACAGAGAATGGAACCTAGGTCTTCAGATGCAATGTCACTTCATGAGTGCTAAATGAGAAAGAATCACAGAATCAGAATATGCTGAGTTGGAAGGGATCCATCAGGATCCTTCAAGTCCAGCTGTTGGCCCTGGACCCCCAAGAGCCACATGTGCCTGAGAGCATTGTTCACTTCTTGAACTCAAGACAGGCTTGGTGTTGTGACACTGCCCTGAGAAACCAGAAACCTATTCCAGTGCCCAGCCACTCTCTGGCTGGAAAACTTCTTGATACCCAACCTAAACCTCTCCTGACTCAGCTTTATGCCCCTCCCTTGAGTCCTGTCATGGATCACAACTGTCAAGATATCTGTACCTGACTCTCCTCTCTCCCTCACAAGGAAGGTGTAACTGCAATGAGGCCTCCCCTCAGTCTCCCCTTCTCCAGGCTGAACACACCAAGTGACCTCAGCCATTCCTCAAACGCCTCCTGCTCCAGTCCCTTCACCATCCTTGTTGCTCTCTTCTGGATGTTCTCTAAGAGCCTGAAGTCTGTTTTATATCATGGCACCAAACCTGCCCCCAGCACTTGAGGTGAGGCCACCCCAGTGCAGAGCAGAGTGGGACAATCCCTTTCCTTGCCTGGCTGCTGATGCTGTGCCTGATGTCCCTCAGGGTCCTTTCCACAATGATGACTAGAAAAACAGTATCACTGAACTTGGAACCTCTTCACTAAGGGGAAACACTTAGGAATCAATGCCAACAAACATACTGCCTTATGGAAGCATACCTGTAGATTATGCTTATAAATAAAAATACACAAATATAAATACATTTTACAAGGTGTTTTCCTGGTTATACTTAAAACAAAAACAATATAGCAAAATCAGTTTGACTTCTTACAGAGAAACAGAAACATTGATGTTCCTAGTTATTTTCTTTACAATAAAATCAGTTATTCATACAGGGGCAGGTTTAAAAGCAAGGTGAAATATCTCTTGCTCCTTCCAAAACTTCTTTGATTCTCTCAATGTATTTCTAAAACACTGTCCAAATTGCCATTTCATCCAGTGAAAATCACCCTGTCCAAGCTGTATGTCAACTATGACAGGCTTATTTTTATGCCAGAATCTTATAACTGTATCTGATTTGGAAACTCCTAGTTATTTATGCCACTGCAACCCGGTCAGTTGCTAACAGCTTCTCTGGAAGAAGCAAAGGAAGAAGTCCTGTTTATTTCTAAATATTTCTATTTCTAAACAGGGCACCTTGGCTTTCTGTTACTTCAGACCGCTTAAACCAAATTTGTGACTCCAGAGCTGAGCTAAGGCAAGGCAGTCTTGCCTTTTCTACAGCTGCATTCCCTAGGCTCCTCCACTTTTCCTGCCTCTGGCCTTGAGGTGAATGGGAAACTACTCAAACCACAAAGCAGCAGCCAAGCAAAAGGAAGCCATCAACTTGCAGCCACGGTGGCTCCCTGAGGCAGTAGCACGCCCAGCTGCATGAGCACGGGCCCAAGAGGGAGTGAGGAACTCCAGGCACAACTTAGACCATCAAAACATTTTGCAGAAATAAACCCTACTTGTTTATGCCTTCTCATAACATCAGCAGTGTCTCAAGAAGGGCTACAAAAGTCAAGAAAAACTTCTTTAGTGACCCCTGTCTAAAATAAAATGTTCGTATCTGCAAAGCAGTGGTCCTAAGGTAACAAGCTAGATGAGACAATGCTTCCAAAGCCAGCCCTCACTGTGGAACTCCTAAACACAGACAAGCAGGCATGCCTGGGCACAGCATTATGAAATGGTATTTCACAGCTGTGGTTTCTTTAAATTAGTGAGATCAAGGTTAGTATGACGGAAAGTAAACTGTTATAGTTTAAGTTTTATAATTTTCTAAAAACACAGAGCAAGGCAATTTCAGCAGTACTCAAACTTCAGACCCCTCCAATGAGTGCTCTGAAGCACCCTCTTTTCTTATGGTCTCTACTTCCCCATTTATTTTTCGACTCTTACATGAAAGATAAACTAAAGTATGATGGAGTCTTTTACAATTACTGCTAAATAGTCTCTACCTCTAGGGTTCCATGTTAAAGTGCTGTACTTTTTTGCTAAAAGAGGGGGCAAAAATCCTCTCTGACATTTTGACTGGAAGCCATAAAACCATACCATACTGTATTCATTTACACTAGTAAACAAACTTATAAGGGGAATACACTTCTGAACCATGAAGAGATTTTAATCTAGCTCTTTTTGTAAACTGATCCAGTTGATCTGTCTGATTCAAGAACCATGCAAAAATCTTTAAATCCCAATCTGCAAAGTTTGCTTTACAATTCTTTTTTTTAAAGAATCTAAATTGGTTCAAAAACTAGCAGACAGTCTTTAAGTAATGATAGAACAAACTTTCTGTGTTTATTAAAATATTCCTATGTCTGCATAAATATCTTGCATTACTGTTACTTGCAAACATGCCTTTTAGTTTACAAAAGAAACATAATTCATGTTTACATGTAGATTAGACTCAAATACTTCAATAAAGAAAATGCACTTTGTCCTTCTTATGCTTGAGAAATCATTGGAAACATCAACTATGCTGATACTATCAGACCTTAATCAGAAAACCATTCTTACTAATGACAATATGTTTAGTATTTAAAATATCTATTCGCAAAGCAGTGCAAAAAATGACAGACCCAGTTTCATAACAGCAGTTTGAAATGGCCAAGACAAGCCATATTACATTAAAAAAACTGAGAGGAAAATGGAAGAATGGGAAGTTGATACGAGCTATTACCACTGAAGTATACCTAGAGATTTAAAACACTTGAAGCTCACAGTTAGGACACCTGCTCCCACCACAGCTCCCAAATACTCTCCTGCATGTCCTGTGGCCTTCATGTCAGCATGACCTTGCAGATTCTGGTCGTGCTTTTAATAGATCTCACAGTACCACTCCAGCCTACAACAAAACCATCACTTTCTCCTAAAAATATTTTATGGACTTCATAATGAAAATACAAAGGAACCCCTCCACAAATTTCTGGGGGGGTGCGAAAATTTCTGAAGTAAATCAGAAGACAGACTACAATTATAGTTATAGATCTTATAGACGAAGATCCTCATCACAAACTTTTATTTACTTTACAGCCCCAAAGAGACAGGCTCAGTTTGTCCAAGTCACTAAGCACACAGCAATACACAGAAGCCATCAAAGTTCATTTGTAAACATGTTTTCCAGTCAATGGACACCCAGTGAAATAGGTTTCCCAGCAATGTCATATAAATGTTTAGTCACGGACTGTTGCATCCATACAGAGCAAAGTAGCCATTGTAATTCACAGTGTAAAATCTATACAATTCCTTAAGTCCTGGAACACACCAAGAGAACAATGATTCTGTAAGAACACAGATAACTGATATTCCCTGCTTTTTAATCTCTTTTGTCTTGTCAGATACAGGAGGATGGGTATCTCAGTGTAGAGGCAGAATCACAGACTTGTTGAAGTTGTCGAAGAATCTCAAAGATCATAACATAAAATCTGAAAACAGTTAAATGGAAAGGGAAAGGCACTGGAAGTCCAGAATGATATCAGTAATCCAGGACTAGAAGTCAGAATGGACAGATAATGGAGACAGGAAGAAAAAAAACAAAACAACAAGAAAAAACCACCCACAAAAATCAGACTAATAATAAAGAGAAGACTAGGACCTCGATGATTAAATATAAGGATGTAAGAGAAATGGGGAAGAGAAAGGAAAGAGTGCCTAACTGCGCTAGGAAATGGAAACCAGTGAAGTGAAGAAAAATGCTGAAACAAACAAGATGCCATCTTTGATAAAGAATAACTGGAGAAGAGTGAGAAGGCAAAAGAGAAAAAGCAGTAGTAAGAATGGAAGAAAGCAACCTGAATATTTCCAGCAAATAGCTCAATCTTTCAATGGGAAAGAGAATCTATTACAGAATCCAACATTTCAGGAAAATACAGTTTCCTTCTTGCTATCATATGCCTATAAAGTCTACCAACCATCTCTCTCCGACAAAGTACTGGCCACTTACTGTTGCAAGTAAGTTTCAAAAAGGATCCCAAAGTGATTGTCCCTATGTGAAACATGCTTCACTCTCAGTTTGCTTTAAAAACCTAAGGGAGTACACCCAAGACTGTTGAAAGCAAATTAAGCTGAGTGTATTTGAGCCTTGAAGCAGCCTATTATCTCAATTCAGCCTTTTGGCATTAACATTCCAATTCTAGGTACAATCACAGAATGACATTTTCCATTTCATAGATTCACAGAATATTTTGAGTTGGAAGGGACACACAAGGATCACAGAGTCCAACTCTTAAGTGAATGACCCATTCAGGGATTGAATCCACAGCCTTGGTGTTATTAGCATCATGCTCTAACCATCTGACTTTCCAAGGGACTCCTACTGTATTTGGGATTTCAGTGAGATTTGAGTGATCTGAATAAGAATTACTGTAGAGGAGGCTGCTTTCTGTAAGACCTTCACCTACTGCAGATGTTGGAAGAAACAAACAAGCCCAGGACAATTCTAGTTCCAACTCCTTTAGCATTCAAATCAGAAAGCAAAACCAGTGGGAGTCATATCTTAAGTACCCTCACAGGAAAAATTAGTTCAGGGAGGCAGAAATTTTCAAATACAGCAGAAAAACAATAGATACTATTAACTCCAACCACAGTGGGCATTGTATAACTCAAGGAGAATAAAACCCTCTAAGCATTTGTGAGCACTGGGCACTGTGTTGACAGTGGTAAATAATCCTTCACTTTCAACTTGAAGTTCAAGACTATGCAATAAATAAGATAGATGGGAACATCCATAAAATATTGAACAGCAGCTTGCAGCAAGTCAGATTCCTCCTGCATGTGATGCCAGCCCTGACAGAGGAAGTTGACAAAGTCTCTACATCCCACATATAACAAAAGCTGACTGAGGGAAGACTGCATAACCAAGTCTCATTTAGCATTTTCTAGCTCTGGCATTTCCTACTTTTGCAATGCTAATCAGTAGAATTAGATTATTTTCAAATAAGTTACCAACGTGGTTGTGCAAACTTCTATTTATTACCACCCCACGCACAAGCAAGTTTTTGCAAGCGAGTATATACAGCAGGCAAGCAGAGATAAGGTTTATGAAAAGCCACAAAAGTATGACACACACCACTAAGTATTTGCAGATACAAACAGCAATAAAATTCTGCACCAGGACTGAAGAGGAAGTAAAGACTGAACTAAAATGTGCTTGATTAATAAGAAATGAATCACGAAATTACATAGTTACTAAACTTGTGACAATAAGCCCACCCATTCTGCAATGACAAAGTGATTTTAAAAAAACCCAATAAAAAGCATAATTCAACTGGGTTTATGAGAACCTGGGAATATAAATATAAAAGACATCGTGCTAGGAAAGCTAAAGCATAACAGGATAGGTTATTCTTTTTTACAGTGTGGGAGGTGAGATTCTGGAACAGGCTGTCCAGAGAAGCTATGGGTGTTCCCTCCCTCCAGGTGTTCAAGGCCAAGTTGCATGTGGCTCTAAACAATCTAGTTCACTGGAAAGTGTCCCTGCCTGTGGACAGGGGGACTGGACTAGTATTCTTCAAGGTCTCTTCCAGCCCAAACCATTCTATGATTCCACAGGTGAACAATATTGAGGGGTAGAAAATACAGCAGTGAAAGCTAGATAATTGTAGATGCTCTTTGCACTTTCTTCTACAGCCATATACATAAACTGACGAGTTAAACACCTACATATTTTACCCAAGTAAAGGATACTTGAAAGGGAATGCATTAATGTACCAAATAAAAACATTCTTACACAAGTGTCTTCCTTCAGTTGCTGTATTTGAGACCCCATGTTAGCTGTGATAGTTGTGTCAGCACTAATTCCACATTAGTGGAATTTCACACAGTTGTCCGTTTCATCAAGAACTCCTGAAGTATTTATCTGATTAAAAAGCTGGAGTAATGACCAGGGTAATACTTGACTCAAAGACAAATAACAAACAGGACATGCTATATATGAGAAACACCTCTACAACTGAGACAGTAGTATGACAAAACCATCTTTCACTATTACTGTGGAGAGTAACAAAATTATTTTCCTTTATTCAACTTCGGAATACAATGGTTCATAAATTAAATTGTGAAAACACCGGCTCCTAGGCAATGTGTAGTCAAGTTTGACATTTGATTGGAAAATTATTCTGCCCTAGTAAGATCTAGTAAAACATTAGTGGAATTTATTTTAAAACAGTAACATAATAGAAGGCTTTGAATAAGCTTGCTGCGTCTTTCAGGTCCTTTGCCTGGTATCAGGCCATATATCTACAGCAGCAGTATGACGGCTTCAACTACAAATAATCAGCATTATTTCTGGTAGAAATATAAACAAAATTGTTGTGTATAAAGATCTCATACCTTTTATACCTGCTTGAAACCATTCTGGAGGAGTCCTAAAAGAAACAAAAAGGAAAAATGAATTAATATTTTTCTTGTAGCTATACTGCCAAAATACCTTATCAGTCCAAAACCAAGTCTGCAGTCCCATGCCAAGTACAAGTCAGTTTTGTTGTCAGGTACAGACAATACCAGGACTATTGTCACCATGTTCTTGCTTGTGAACATCACCCCAGAAGCCTTAAGTGTCTGCCTCTGATTACATCATAAAACTGGATGCACTTATTCCATCCCCCTGCAAGCTCATGAAGCAGCTCACACCCTGCCACCAGTACATCTCCACCACTAACTAGTATGGAAACAAGTGTGCCCTTTGATAGTTGTTCATCAACTTGTCCAAGAGCAGCAGAGCAAAACTGTTTCAATTCCTGAGCATCACTGCTGTCCTTCCGGATGGGAACAAAAACTGAAGCTGCCAAGTACAAAAATTAAGACATGTTTCAACTGGTAAACAAGGGCTCAGATTTGACAGAGTAAGTCCATAAATATTTTTTAGGATGTTGTAAGAACATGAACCAATTATTTTCTTAGTCATAGGCAAAACACTCCCAGCAAATAACAAGTAAAAAGTCAGGAAAGAATATTCAAGGAGTTAAAGGACAATTGCCTTTACGAGAAAAAAAAATAAGGCGAAGTATGAAATGCTGTCTAATTACAACACTTACTGTGGGCAAAGAAGCAAACTAGCTCTTAAAACAAGATGCAAGAGAAATTCCATCCACTCTGAAAATTCTACACAACATGACACTGCCTTCACTAATCAGCACACTAGTGACTTTGTAAGTAAATAAACAAGCTAAAAATTAGGACACAAAGAGTATTATTTTAGTATAGAAAATAGTATTTTAAAAATACTTGTGTTATAGAAAAATCTTGATCTGAAAGTACATTTTATTTTATGAAGCATTTTCCCTTTCTGCTATATGTGCTACATCTTATCCCTAAGATAAGCAGAACAAAATTCAACAAATTCATGGGATCTAGTTAAAGAAACCCACAAATTTGGCAAAATTGCCAGTTTAACACTGATAACTATTTTTATCATTGATGACAGGCATCTGAAAATTAGTGATTCACAGCTATGAAACAGAAACCTAATTTTACCTCTAAAAGGGCAGAGAAACAATTTTAAATGTTACCAATGCTATTTTTAAAGTTTACTTAAGGGTAGGTTATCTTTGAAAGGTCATGGAAGCAGGGGGAGGTTTCTGTGGACTAAAATGAAGTAAATATCATTCCTTTCTTCAAGAAGGATCATCCAGGGAACTACAGGACAGTCCTTAGCTCAGATCCTGAGTAGAAAATGGAACAAATCCTCAAGGACAGGAAGGTGAAATCAGCATGGCTATCTAAAGGGGAGACCATGCCTGACCTGACAGCCTTCTATGACGAGAGGACTTGGTGAATGAAGGCAAAGCAGATGATGCTTATCTAGATGATAGCAAAGCTTTCAACACCTCCCCACACAACATATGTCTATGGAAATAGAGGCCAGATAAGCAGACCATGAGATGCAGTGACTACTGGGTCCAAAGGGTCACGAGCAGCAGCAGAAAGTCCAGCTGGATGCCAGCCACTTTGCAGGGACTGATACAGGGGCCAGTACTGTTTAATGACTTCAGTAGTGACCTGAATTATGACACAAAGTACAGCCCCAGCAAGTTGGCACACTACAAACAACTTGGATGAGAGGTTAACAATATATCAGGTGGCTGTGTTGCCATCTAGAGGGACACACACACAGGTTGGAAAATGGGCTTACAGAGATCCCATGAAGTCCAAAAAAAAGCAAAATGCCAAGTCTTGCACCAGAGTCTGGGGATGAATAATCCCAAGCAGGAGAACTTGCTGTGGAAAGCTGCTGTACAGAAAAGAATGCTGGTGTCCTGGTGACAACAAGTCAAACATAAGCCATCTCTGTGCCCTTGCAGCAAAGGCCCATGGCATCCTCAGGATGCACTGCCAGCAGGTTGAAGGAGAGCATCCTGAGGAGAGCTGCAAGGACAGTGAAGGGACTAGAGGAGAACTCACACAAGGAGTTGCTGAGGTCACTTGGCTTGTTCAGCCTGGACGAGACTGAGGGGAAGTTGCAGCTACAACATCCTCAGCTGCAGTCACAACCTCCTCATGAAGGGATGAGGACAGTCAGGCACTGATCTCTCCTCTGTTGTGACCAGTGACAGGACCTGAGGGAATGCCTGAAGTTGTGTCAGCAGACTTAGTTTGGATATTAGGAAAACATTCCTCACATCTCAGGGTGGTTGGGCACTTGAAAAGGCTCTGCAGGAAAGTGATCACAGCACCAAACCTGATAGACCTCAAGAAACATTTGGACAATACTCTCAGGCACATAGTGTGACTCTTGGGGTGTCCTGTTCAGGGACAGAAGCTGGACTTGTGGGTCCTCTCCAACTAAGCATATTCTCTAATTCTCCTCTGCTCAGCCCTGGTGAGACCACAGCTGGCATGCTGGGTCCAGTTCTGGACTTCTCAGTATGAGAACAATATACTGGAGAGCTCCAGCAAGGTTGAACATATGATTAAAGGTCTGGAGCATCTGACACATAAGAAGAAGCTGAAAGTGCTGGAATGTTCAGCCAGGAGAATAGGATGCTCAAGAGGTATCTTGCAAATGTGTACAAATTCCTGATGGGGTAAAGATGATGGAGATATATTTCTATCTGTTGTGAAAAAAAAACCCAACTGGCTCCAGTCCTGAGCAATTTGCTACACATATCCTGCTCTGTCTGCAAGACTTGGACTGGAGACTTCCCAAGATCCCTTCAAGATTTTTAGGGATCTTTCCCAAGATCCCTAAAGATTTTTAGCCTTAAGACAGTCAGCAATGACTGATGAAGTGATTTGACTCTGAGGTATCCAAACAGATTTCAATTGTTTCATCTAATACATTAAGATCCATGTTCCCTGTATCTGAGACTGAAACAGCACATCAGTGACATCAGACACAGTTCCTGGTGGTGATGGTCTCAGAAACATCTCAGCTGCCCCATTAGCCATGGGCAAGTGGTTCAATTGCCTTTTGAGGCTTGGATAGAGAGTTACACTGGGTCTAAATTTTGCCTAACTGCCTGCAGATACAATAAAGTAGGAACTCTGGGCTCTAATCTTCCTCAGTTCTTATTTTTTTAACAGCTTCGTTTCTTCAGGGAAATGCTTCCTGGTGAACATAAGCCTTGGTTTGCAGTGAAAGGTAGAATTCATGAGAAAGGGAGAAACTGCACCTGAGACTGCAGTCTGGTGAAGCACACAAAGAAATCTTGTACAAAGAAATCTTAAGGTAAGAGATGCTTGTTTTGTACTCTAGACACTAAAAGGATACAATGAATGCACTGCATACCCCCATATTTGCTAAAATATTTTCATATACTAAATGCAAAAAACACTGTAAAGCTATTACATAGACTTGTACATTTAATTCAACTGCACTCTTTTAAAAGTTTGGCACTACTATTCAGAAAAGCCAGCTCTTCAGAAAAAGCTGGGAAAGCAAACAAATGCTGAGACAAAGCATAGCAAATACTCTCATTTGCTACAAATGACAGTTGTTAAAACAAACAAACAAACAAACCTTGACTCAATTAACAAGTCCTTTGTAACAGATGTTTCTACAGTAAGTAGTAGTGGTTTTTATTTCTGTAGTTGAAACTATGAACAAAAAGTTAAAAAGGCACACCTGATGCACACAAAAAATCCTCTGAAGATCAAATTAATATTGCAAATTTGATAAATTATGATTTTTATTACTTTGAAATCTCTAATGTAAATGCAAACCAATCATTCTTTAAAGTGATGATGAAAACACTAGGAAAATGTATTATTTACCTCTGTTCTCATCTTACGAAATTTATTTTGTGTGCATCCAAAAGACTCTGGCAACATGAGTATAAGTAGTCACACTGTAAATAGCCTAATGTGCCTATAAATCAAAAAATAATCTAAGATTTCAAACTACTCAGAGATCTTAAAATGAGGCAAGCATCTATAATTTAAGATCTTGTCTCCTCCACTTTTGGAGAACTGAAGGTTGGCAGAAAATCAAGGAAGGGAAGGAGAAAAGGAGGGACATGCCTGTTCTGACAAAGAGTTAACCTAAAAGCAGATTACTGTTCTTGTACAAAAGTATTTATTTACAAATCTGGCTTATATTCCTTAATATTTTTTTAACTTTGATTTTTAACCCACATTTAAAATATCTCATCTTTACTATAAAAGTGAATGATCAGTCATGAGCAATGAAGAGATCTGCTCATTTGAATGTCTCCCTCTAAAAGAGGAATTCTTTTTATAGTCTGTGGCAATCCTGAATGGAAAAACAGTAAGTAAAGAATTAATCTGTAACAATGCTAATGGTTTCTTTCATACTGGTGAAAAAATACTGCTGCCAAAGACATTTACCTACATCAGTTCTTTGTCCAAGGCTGAAATCAAGCTTTCACTTCAATGCAGTATTCCAAACACAGCCTTAAAATTACTTTTACTTTTTGCACATGATCTCAGGCAGCTTGCATTTACCCTTTAACAGCATATACTTCACTAATAAACCAAATTATTAGTGAACACTCTACAAACTACTGCAGAGTGACATACATCAGCATAGCTCCAAAAAAGTGGTCATGTTCCCTTTTTGTTTTGTCTACAAAAGTGATTGTGTGGATGGTATTAATGCAGGACAGGGTGTGATCTATGAAAAATGCAAGGAAAAGAAAACATTTCTCTCATTCCACATGAGCTCCTTCATCTGATTCACTGCACAGACTAACTCACAGACATGCACCTGCTGCACCAGAGAATATGTAAGGACAGAAAAGGCAGCTGAGATCATTTCAGTTAATGAAACCATTTACTGCCAATTAAATCTCTGTCAAACTAGGATGAAGGAACTTGGCTAACTCTCCTCTTTGCTCCTGGCTCATCTTGGTATTTCATCTGGCCAACAGAGAGACTGCATAAACAAGCTGGTCATCGGGCTTTAAAT